CCCAGTTTTTGGGGTTTTTTGAGGGGGATTTTTGGGGGTTGTTGGGAGCTGGGGATGAGGGGAAAGGGGTTTGGGGGAAAAAAAGGGGATTTTGGGAAAAATGGGGATTTTTTGGGGATTTTTTGGGATTTTTTTGTGGTTTTTGGGAGCGGGGGGGGGAGGGGAAATGAGGATTCCTTAGGCCGCGCTAAGCCCCGCCCCCTTTTCCCCTCCTCGCCTCCTCATTGGCCAATTTTTATCTCAAAAAACGACAAATTTGGGTTAAAAACCTCCCATTTTTCCATCCTAGGGGCAAATTTTGAGCTCAAAAATCTCATTTTTGGCTCAAAATCCCTCAAAAATTCCAATTTTTCGGGTAAAAACCCTCAAAAAATGCCAATTTTTGCCAAGAAAAATAAAAAAAAAATTAGGAAGAAAATCAAATTTTGTGCCAAAAATCGCCAAAATTCCCTTTCACCACCCAAAAATTTCATTTTCCACCCAAAATCTCCAATTTTTGCCCCAAATTTCTCAACTTTTCCCCTCAAAATCCCCATTTTTTGGGGTAAAAACCCTCAAAAAAATCCCATTTTTTTACTGCGAAAAATCCCAAAAAATTATAAAAAAATCAGGTTTTGTGCTAAAAATCGCCAAAATTCCCTTTCACCACCCAAAAATTTCATTTTCCACACAAAATTCCCAATTTTTGTCCAAATCCCCCAACTTTTTCCCTCAAAATCGCCAATTTTTGGGTAAAAACCCTCAAAAAAATCAGAATTTTTGCCGTGAAAAACCCCCAAAAATTACGAAAAAACCAATTTTCCGCCAAAAATCACCAAAATTCCGTTTCACCACCCAAAAACTTCATTTTTCCCCCAAAATTCCCAATTTTCAGCCCAAATCTCCCAACTTTTTCCCTCAAAATTCGCAATTTTTTGAGTAAAAACCCTCCAAAAAAATTCGCAATTTTCACCTGGAAAAAACCAAAAAAAAAATTACGAAAAAATCAAATTTTGCGGCAAAAATCGCCAAAATCCCTTTTCACCACCCAAAAACTTCGTTTTCCACCCATAATTCCCGACTTTTTCCCTCAAAATTCCCAATTTTTGGGTAAAAAAACTCCAAAAACAACAAAAAAATCGCATTTTCCGCCGAGAAAAACGCAAAAAAAACCTCGAAAAGATTTTTTGCAGTAAAAATAAAAAAAAATCCACTTTCACCACCCAAAAAAATTCATTTTCCTCAAAAAATTGTCAAATCCCGCCCCGAAATTCCCAATTTTACCCCAAAAATCCCAATTTTCCCGCCCAAACCGCCCGTTTCCCCTCATACCTTTGGCCAAGATGGCGGCCGCGCTAAGCCCCGCCCCCTCCCCGTCTCCTCGCAGGCCTATTGGCTCCCGTCAGGCTCCGCCCCGGCTCCTCAGCCAATCGCGTGGCTCATCACACGCAGGAGTTCGCACAGCGCCCCCTGGTGGTCAGGAGGGGGCAGCGCTTCCATGTGGGCGTGGCCTTGCCCCGCCCCCTCCGCGAGGGCGACGAGATTTGCATGGAGCTGACGCTGGGTGAG